TGCATCCATGAGGCCAGCTTGGGTTTTGGGTTTTAGGGTTTGGGGCTTTAGGGTTTCGGGGTTTAGGGGTTTAGGGCTTTAGGGTTTCGGGCTTTAGGGTTTAGGAATGGTCGGCGTCATAGTACATTATGACTCGCACTAGCAACGATAATGATGACGATGATGATGATGGTAACAGTACTGATGAGGGACTAGGAGTAGGAGCACGGGCAGGAGTAGGAGTAGGAGTCGTCGTCGTAGCAGTAGCAGCAGTTGCTTCAACAGTAGTAGTAGGACCAGAAGGAGTAGTAGGAGCAGAATGAGTAGTAGTAGTAGTAGTAGTAGTAGTAGTAGTAGTAGTAGTAGTAGTAGTAGTAGGAGGAGGAGGAGGAGGAGGAGGAGTAGCAGGAGAGGGCTTGGGCCTTGAAGCGCTTCGATGTTCGGTTTTGGCACGCTGTCGGGCTTTGAGTCTTCAGACCATAGAAGGTGCTTGGTAGGGTTGCATGCCATGAAGCCTGTTTCCTTGTGACGGTTCAGGGTTAGGACGTGCGTTTAGGGCATACCCTCCCCGGAGTTCGGAGACTTACGAACAAGGGATTTCGGAAAGCTGGCTTGACTGCATTGACCTTCGCGTAAGGATTATCTTTCTGTTATCCTTCATGATACGGTGGCGTCTAAGAGGCTTGACGGGGTTCAAGGGCACGAGGCACGCTTAGGTTGGCGCATCCCTTGACACCGGCGTAAACGGAAAATGGAGAGGGTGAAGCTCAGGGGAAGGTTTTTCGATTTCTTGTCGGGTTGATACGGTTCCATGGGGCTTTATGTAGTTGACAACGGTTGGATTTTGTAAGTAGTAAGGTAGCAGCCACCCTTGGCCAGGCTGCTCGTCGTCGTGTCCCTGCTACCGCTGGGATGGGTCGCCGACTCGGCTGTTACCCCAGAGCTCACTACCCTGACAAACCCTTAAACCCTGAAGCCCCAAACCCCCTAAACCCTAAACCCTAAACCCTTAACCCCGAGGTCCACGACCCTGTGAACCCAAAGCTCTCCCTGCAAAGTCCGCAGCCTCAAAAGGAGGGACCCTTAATGGGGACCCCTACCCTATAATGGGCTATATAATGGGTATCTAATAGCTATATAAAGGGTATATACCTAGGCGTCCTTATTAAGGGTCCCTCTTTCTACCCTTGGACAGCTGCGTTTCTAAGGCACTCGGTGTCGTTCCACCCATCGACTCGCTGATCATTTGGTCGCTGGAGCAGGTGGCTCTCTCAGAACCCTAAGTCCTCACATCCCTAAGGAACCCTAAGTCCCCACATCCCTAAGGAACCCTAAGCCCCCACATCCCTCAGGAACCCTAAGTCCCCACATCCCTAAGGAACCCTAAGCCCCCACATCCCTAAGGAACCCTAAGTCCCCACATCCCTAAGGAACCCTAAGTCCCCACATACCTAAGGCCCAAACCCTGAGCCCGGGCCCCCAAACCCAAACCCAACATAACCCAACAAAGACTCGAAGCTCGAAAGGCCCGAAAAAAATCCTACAAATCATGCAAACCAAAACCCTACAATGGGTGGAGGACCACCGCCTCAGAGATGGGTACCTTGCGGTGCGCAGACGCCCGTACTCGCTCTCGTGGGTCCGTCTCCACTTCACGGTGCGATTACGTGGCATGCAACCGATCTTCTAGGTGTTAGGGCCCCCTGATTAAAGCCAAATGATAGGAAAATGGGTACCCTTACTATAAAGGGGCTTCCCAGGAACCCAGTCGTTCATGAGGACATGGCCAGCGTTTCCGGTGATTCCTTGTCCAACCCAAAAGCGGGGGCTCTTATCTCCTTGATGATCGAGTGCGGGACCCTCAGCCCTGAGCCCTAAACTCCCAACCCTAAGCCCCCAAGTGAAGGCATGGGTATGTAGAGCTGGAGGACCCTGAAGGTGAAACTGCAGGGCGTTGAGGGATTTTGTGCAGCTATGGTTCAACTGGAGTACTGGAATTACGGAGTTCTGGTGCTTCACAGGGTTGCGTGAGGTTTCGTAGGTTGAACGTCCCCTGATCCTTTCAGCAGGGCCCTGAATGCTGAACCCTGCACTCTGAACCCGGTAGATCTCAATCATTTGAAACAGTTGCCAAGCTCTTCCCGGGCAGGTTGAGGTGCATTTCTTCGGGGGCACCGCCGCTACGGATGTGAGGCTGGAGTTTAGGGTTTAGGGTGAACTCTAATTTCTAAAGCCTAGAAGCCCTATGCTACAGATGCACAGCACACTGACGGCCCTACACCCCGAGACATGCTTATAGAACCCAAACAGAACCCTCGAAAGCCTAAGATCCCCCCTAAACCCCTAAACCCCTAAAACCTAAATCCTAAACCCCTAAACTCCTAAACCATATACCCTAAGCCTCAAAAGCCTCAGATCCCTAACTTTTAAGCCCTCGCTGCGGTCCGGACCTTTCGGGCTCGGGTCGTGGGGGCTTCTGGGTCGGACCATAGGATTCTGGAGGTGGGTTTTGTCGGTTTAGGGTTTAGGGTTTAGGGTTTTGTCGAGAAATATCAGGGCCTAAATCATTACCTACTGTATCTTTTTTGGGGGTTTCGTATTGTTGTTATAGTATAATGTACACCAAGACCCTATTCTAATTGTTAAGGCCCCTCTATTATATCGTTTTTTGTGATTGTGTAGGGGTTTAGTTTTCAGGGTATTGGTTCTTTCAGGGCTTTAGGGTTGAGGGTTTTCTTCCTCTTATATAAGATTTGGGGTTCAGGTCTTGGGTTTGAGGGATTTATGATTGAGAACTTGCGGTTTAGGGTTTACGGCTTCAATGAGCCCCAGGCTCTAGTCCCAAAGCCCTATACTCCAATTAGGCTGCCGTCAGGCCCCTCAACCGCAAGCCCTTGCTTCTTAAGGCTTCTCGATATCGAGTGAATAGGTAACCCAGGATCCGCCATCATCCGCTTGTGAGACAGTCTTCTAAGTCGAATAACGTAGACCCAGGATCCCCCTGGGTACTCTTCAGGCCACGATGAATTCCAAGCAAACCCCAGTCCAACAAGTTTCATGCGAATCCTGATTCCTCAAGACGGGACAGCGGGAACTGAGCCTCAAACCCTGAGCCCGAAGACTCTAAGACCATCACCACCGGAACCTCCCTTAGCAATGCAAGCCCAATAAGCCTAATACAGGGATCTTAATAATTGCCTGTACTATTCTGCGGGGTCCTGATTACAATTGCAGTGTGATAATGGGCCGGCGTTCTAATGATTAAGGCCAGTCTCAGTCTCTCTCTCTCTCTCTCTCTCTCTCTCTCTCTCTCTCTCTCTATATATATACATATATATACATATATATATATATATATATATATATTTCTGGAGAGTGCGTCGGAATGCAGGCCCGTGTTTTTCGAGCGAAGTAAGCGAGTTTCAGTACATTCTTCATGCTTCTCAGGACTTGGGCTCATCTTTAGCAAAATCGAACACAATGTCAAAACCTCCTGCAAGTTTACAAATATGCTGAATGGCAGCTGATCAACACAGTTATGCAATAGACAGTTGATTTTGTGCTCTTAAGTTACCTATTCGAAATATTCGGGCTTGCCACTCCCTTCCATTTTTCTTTAGACCCAGTAGGTATGCTTGAGGAACATGTCAGATGTTATAACATATTTCTGGTTCTTGACATTCACTGTATCTTTCAGGGTTTTAGTTTAACATCAATTATGCCTTGTTAGTTGGGACAGAAATGCCACAGTTAGATGTTAGTCTTGGCTCTCCACCATGTTTGTGTTAAGTTGCTGAATTTCCACATATCATTTTTTGTTGGAGTTTGAAGTGTTTCTGCCCTGGTGGGGTCGATTATGGATCTTTATCCGCAGTCTGCCGCCAAGGACCTAAGGATGAACATATTGGACATGCCACCCATGTATCCTGATCAGAATATATCATGCCGCTTTCTCTATATATATATATATATATATATATGTAGATATACACACATACTTTAGAGCCCTCATAGACCCCTTTGAAGGAAACCCTATTCTAGTTACTAAGGCCCCAAAATTCGACCTTCCAGAAGTCCAAGGCCCAACCCTACATCCTAAACCCAAAAGCCCTCAAAACCCAGGTCCTAAACCCTAGAGGCCTTAACTCACCTTGGGTTAGTAGGGAATGGAGGAATGGGGTACAATTATAACTACTATTACTACCATTCTTCCATTCCCTACGAACCAACGGTAAGTTAAGCCCAAGCCTAAGCGCTAAACTCGATAATTAGCACCCTTGTCCCTTATAGGAACCCTTTTAGCTCCATTAAAGGAGCCCAAACCCCCAAACCCCCCCCAAAAAAAGGCGACTGGCACTGGCCCTGGTTGCTAGCGCGGCAGCTGCTGCCGCGCTGGGCGCTGCGACGCCGGGCCGCGTGCCCGAGGGGTTTGGAGTAGAGAGGAGAGCCCTAAACCCTGAACCTTTTTGTGGCTTTGAGGACTTAAAGGTTGGTTAGAGCTTCAGGGTTTGGCGTGGTGTTAATGGATTTTTCTGCCTTTTGGTGAGCCAAGACATTGTGATCGGTTTGGGAAGCCGACACCTGAGGTGGTGAGACCGTGCTAACCTTAAACTCTTCAGAAATAAAATTTGAACCGGAATCGTTACGTAATTTTCAAGGTGCAAACCCGAAACCCCCAAATCCCGGGCCCACCAAGGGCTCCATGCCGTGGACATAGACCCAGACTGGCGCGCGGCGGTGGTGGGCGGCATTTGTCGGAGCCCTGAGATCCTAGGTGTGGGGTGTATCCAAATACAGAAGCCTAGCAAAGACCCAAGGTTTCGTAATCAGGTTCCCGCCTTAGGGTTTACAGCTGCGCTCCTTGCCACGGGATGTCACTGTTTCGGGATGGCTGTGATGTTGCGGGCTATGGTGCAAAGAGCTTGTCGCGATATGCATTGCATGCATCGCAGGCGTTTCTGAAGCTCAGGCCTTGGAGAGTCCGCGAGGCTTCAAAAAGAGGTCTCCTCACCGTCGGCGCCATGGGTTCCGGTCAGACGCTGCCCTGGCTGATGTTGGTGTCGGTGCTGATGGCCGCTGGAAGCGACAGCTACACTCTGCGGGAAGCCATCAAGCACCACAAGGAACTCGGCCACGAGAACGTGCTCAAGGCCGTCAAGGCCGCCTCCGACATCGACGAGCGGGAGCGGGACGAGAAGGGGCGCACAGCATTGATGTGGGCAGCGTGGAAAGCAGACGTGGAGATCGTGAAGGCGATCCTTCTTGCCGGGGCTGACGTGAACCTCCAAAGCCATAATGGATGGACGGCTCTTATGTATGCTGCTAAGTACGGCCAGCCGGGGATCGTGGAGGCCGTCCTCAAGCACAAGCCGGACCTGGACCTCCAAAACAAAGACGGATGGACGGCTCTTCTGATTGCTGCCCGTTACGGCCAGCCGGGGATCGTGGAGGCCATACTCAAGCACAAGCCGGACCTGGACCTCCAAGAGAAAGCCGGATGGACGGCTCTTATGCTTGCTGCCCGTTACGGCCAGCCGGGGATCGTGGAGGCCATGCTCAAGCACAAGCCGGACCTGGACCTCCAAGAGAAGACCGGAGCGACGGCTCTTATGATTGCTGCTCGTCACGGCCAGCCGGAGGCCGTGGAGGCCATCCTCATGTACAAGCCGGACCTGGACCTCCAAAGCAAAGACGGATGGACGGCTCTTCTGATTGCTGCCCGTTACGGCCAGCCGGGGATCGTGGAGGCCATACTCAAGCACAAGCCGGACCTGGACCTCCAAACGAAGATCGGATCGACGGCTTTGTCTCTGGCAGTCTTCAACCGGCACGGCCCCTCCGCGGCCCCGGTGCAGGCGCTGCTGCGCGCGGGCGCGGCCGTGGACTTGGCCGACTTTGCAGGGCGGACGCCGCTGATGAGGGCAGCGCTGGAAGGTCGCCGGGGGGTCGTTGAAGCGCTGCTCGAGCATGGGAGCCGCCCGGAGCTGCGGAGCCGCAGCGGCCAAAATGCCCTGGACTTCGCCAGGCTCGCGTCCAGCAAAACTAAAGACTTGTTGGTGCAGCGACTTGAAGATGTCACTCCAAAGGGAATGGACTTAGCCAAGAAGTACTTCGCCTCCCGCACCACCTGGCTTTTCCTGGGCTCCGGCCTCGCCTTCGGCGTCCTCGCAGGTTCTTGCTTGGTGGCGATGGGGAAGACGGGAAATCCGACAAGCTCCGATCACGTGACCGTGCTCATTAGCAGCAGAAGGCTGGCGATCAAGGGCCTCACGAAACAGATCTGGAAGGCGGAAGCCTTCAGACTGCTGGAGCTCGTGGCCTGCCTCCTCCTGCCCTTCTCCATGACCATGCTGTGGATTGAGCCGCAGAAGTTCCTTCCGTTCTATGTCCTCGTCTACACCCTTCCCGCCCTGGCATGCTGGCAGCAGAAGGCCCTTCGCTTCCCGGCCTTGCTGCTCGTGAGCCCCGCAACCCGACCGGGCCTCCTTTGCCCGGTTCGCCTTCCGCGGGCCGTTGCCACCGTCGCGCAGCTCGCTTTGCTGTATTGGCTGCCAGGGCACTGCTCCCAGCCCATCAGCTACTACATATATGGAAGCCCAAAATTTGAGGACGCGATGGTGGCCTTCCCCATGAACGCAATGGTGCACGGGCCCCTGCCGCTGCTGAGCAGGGCCTCTGCTGAGATAGCCTGTCCGGCGAAGAATACATTCCCGGCTCAGGTACAATCGGTGTTCTTCTGCGGGCAGTACATCGTGGCGGTCGTCAGCCTTATTTGGGTGTTCCTAGTCACGATCGACACCTGCTGCGGTTTCATGCAGCTTGCTACGAGTGACCAGCAAGCCGTGGAGGAACTGAGCAGGCGCATAGCCGCGACTGAAGCGAAAGACGAGATTTCAAAGATTTCGGACGCAATCGCCGTGAGCCCGGAGAGGGCGATTCAGTGCCTGCCTCCGGGAGGCATCTACTTCGCTGTCGGTATGGCCATTTGCGACGTCTTCCTGGACATCTACAGTGCTTATTCTTGCGTAATGGCCGCGCAGCTGAAGTTTGCGTTCCTCATGGTCGCTATTGTCAGCACTTCCTGTACAGTGGAAGCCCTCACCAGCACCCCGTGGAGCCTCCCAAAGCAAATAGCAGTCTCCTTGCATCGGGGCTTGTCGACCGATGCTCTACGTCATGCTCTACAATACGAATCTTCCTTCGAGGCCCCGTTGTGTTTGTGTCTTTCGGCATATGCCTTCGCCTTCAATGTACGGGGCGGTGGCCTCCTCACCCTGGTTCTCTCCCTTATGAGTATCATCCTAAGCACCTACAACACTGCCAGCTACTTCTGCTGGAGCATCGACTTGGGACTGCAAAAGGACGACGACGAGATGGGCCAGGATACCACCAAGAAGGACTGTCATGTTCGCACGCTCACACAGTTTGGTTCAATTTTTATGGAGGTTCTTTCAGGACATAGACGAGACTCCACAAGAAGACAACTCCAGAAAGGCCAGATTCAAGAGACGCACGTAAAACAGACAACAAGCGCGAAGTGACAAGCTAAAGCCCGGAACAACACAAAGCAAATCCGCTGGACAAGCAACCAAACCGTTCAAATTAGCAAAAAAGGAATGAAAGGCGAGATCGTATCGAACAGTAGGCCGCGCAGACACACGCACGCAGACAAGCAATCAGGCAATCTGTCAGTCAGTCAGTCAGTCAGTCAGTCAGTCAGTCAGTCAGTCATTTTCTCACTCACCCACTCGCTCACTCAATCCATCAGCTATTTAACTATTTAACTAATCGGTTGAGTAACCTTTTACCTAATCGGTAAATTACCTAATAAATTAATGAGTTAACTAACTAGTTCATTCAGTAATCAGTCAGTAAAACACTATATGATATATATATATATATAGAGTACACGCATACCGGAGCCAACCACAAACAGCAACACCAAAATCATCCAAAATGAATTGACAGCCATCTTGTTGCTCAGTGTCTTTCTGTAGCTGCGTTGACTTGCTCTCTGAGTGTGGCTTTGCGTTATTCTGTTGGTTTTGCTCAATGTACTTCTACAGTCTACGGTTGTGTTTGTACGTTTTCGTTGTGCTTTGTTGAGTCGAGGCTTCGTGTTCTCTTATCTGTCAGAAATAGTTCTGTGCGGGCTGCGAGTTTCACAACGACATCTGCAGTTGTGTAGCACGTGAGGATTTCGAGTTGGAGCTGTGCGACCACGAAGAAGGGCTACGTTTACATGTTCTCCGGCAAGGGCACGAAAGTGTTGATAGTAGGCACCAGTGTCTTGCCCAGTGTTAGGAAACTTCAGACTTCCGTTGCGCTGCTGCTTGTTTCTGAGATTACACTCGCACATACCTGTTAAGTAGGCAGCGTGATCTGTTCTCGGAGACAGCGGCGAAGCCACTGCTGCTTGTCACCGACTTTGCAAGTTGCAAGTAATTGAGGCAGCGTAGTTGCCTCGAGTGACATGAACGAATGAGAGAATCCTAGAAGGAATGAATGACAACATCTGTTGCTGGAATGTTTCACCGTTGTACAGAGACGAGGAACGGCCCTCCGAAAGATGCCCTTCTGGAACGGTTTTATGACCGGAAAACAACTCTTGTAACAAAGCCTTTGACCTTGACTGGGCTTTGGAGTACCATACTTTAATACTTTTTTTCTTAATGGAACGATTTTGAAATAAAAGTTTATACTTTTGTCTCCCGGGTTACTTAAAAGCCCAGTTGAAGCCCCAAGCCCAATTAGCAGAGCTCCGTAGCAGCCCTGGAGCCCCCTACCAAGGTCTTGCGCTTGCGGCCGCTTGGCGTGAGAAATATGGCCGAGGTTTAGTGTTTGGGCCTCCTGTAGTATTTTAGTAATAAGATACCATTAAGGTACAATTAAGGTACAACTAAGGTACTGTTGGAATTTTGATACCATTAAAACTAAAACACTATTCAAACATAGGCGACTTCCTTCAACCCTAAACCCTAAATCCTAAACCCCTAAACCCCCTATACCCCGTAAACCCCCTAAACCCCCTCAACACCCTAAACCCCCTACTGTAAGCCCACTAACCCCCCTAAACCCCTAAACTCCCTAAACCCCGAAACCCTAAACCCTAGACCCTGATAGACCCTTGTAGTAACCCTTATAGTCCCCTTTTAAGGAACCCTTTAAAGGAACCCTATTCTAATCCGTAAACCCCCTACACCTTCAACCCAGGCCTGCGTGGCGCCCTTGCCTCCTCGCGCTCGAGACATGCCCAAGGCATCCTCTGGCTGAGGGTTCCATGGAACCATCGGGCCACGGTTTAGGGGTTTAGGGGTTCAGGGGTGTGGGGTTTAGGGTCGGGCTTACTTGGGGCAATACAGGGTCTTGGTAAGTTCCTATACGATTTCCGGGACTCCTGATTATAATTGAAATTATAACCATACCCTAAACCCTGAAACACTAAACACCCTGAGCCCTAATATCGGGGTCTAAACAATTACCTATATGCTCTTTTGGGGGCTCCTCATTAAAACTACAGCATAATATCCACCAGAATCCGGTTCTGATAATTAAGTCCCATACGTTAGGCAGGGTTTGACCAGGTTTGCAACTCAAGAAGTTAGCTGTTAGGACACCCTAAACCCTAAACCCTAAACCCTACACCCTAATCAAGAGGTTAGCTGCTAGGACTGGGCTTGAGAAGCCTCTTGGGCTTACTATAAGGGTTTAGGGTTTAGGGTTTAGGGGTTTAGGGTTTAGGGGTTTAAGGGTTTAGGGTTTAGGGTTTAGGGCAAACGGAACTAGACATACAGGGACGATCAGGTTGTTCTCCGCTGCTTTCGTTCATGCTTCCTGTTGCAAGATTCGGGGCATTGTCTAGTCAGGTGTTCAGAGAAATTCTGGTTTCCAAGGGTCAGAGGGCCTAGAGGGCTCATTTGTAGGGATTTCCTGATTTGGATTCGAGCTTTCTATGGTTTATAGAAATCAGGGTTCCGGGACGTATGGTTCGTAGGTTTAAGCCCTAAACGAGCCCCGACACAGATGCCTGAATAAAAGCAAGCGTAATCATGGCAATCCTAGCATCGTAGACTTGTAGATGGTAGCTAGCACGAGGAAGAGGTTTCAGGACAATAGCACGAATAGGAGTAGACACGCCGATTATCCGTGCAACAGCAACCACATAAGCAGCAGGAGCAGCAGCGACAATTGTAGTTTGAGAAGCAATTGCAGCAACTGCTTGGGTAATTATGACCATGGGCTTCAAGCAGTGTTACTAACAGCGACACGTCGGTTTCAGTTTTGAGGTCAAGTAGTGCATCTAAGCTGCATAAACAGACACAGTATCAAACCCTTGTATAGCACCCGCTCTAAACCGGAACCTACACAACCGGTTTTAAAATCGCACTGAAGACCACTTTCAAACACTGCACAACCCTTATCTTCTTCCAGAGAGCTTAACAGTCTTGGACGATCTTGAATAGTGGCCTTATTCAGGGTTCCATAGTGCAAACTCTGAACCCCGAATTCCCCCAACCCAGAATGTTCAGCCTAAATCAACCAAGCTCTCCACCCTGAAGCCATCAGAGCAGCCCGTATAGAAATCCATCATGAAATTTTGATAGCATTCTTCGAACACCCCAAACCCACAAAACCCTAAACTCTAAAACCCCAAACCCACAAAACTCAAAGCCTAAACCCGAAGACCCTGAACCCCGAACCCTAAAACCCTAAAACCCTAAAACCCTAAACCCCTAAACCCCAAATCCTAAACCTTGAACCCAAAACACCCAAAGCCCCCCCAACAAAACTGGACGCCAGGTCCGGGAGACCCTAGCAGCCCTCCGCACCGAAAGCCTAAGCCACTAAACCCTATGGATCCCTGAGAAACCCTTAAGGGTTCCCTTTAAAGGAACCCCTAAAGGGTTCCTGTTGAAATGCTTCTCACTGCATGCCCAGGTATCAGGTTAGACAGGTGTGTAGTCTGCTTGAAGGGATTGCCGGCACTTGTATAGTTTCCTTCAGGTAGGCTTGTACATGTGTGTTTCCTGTATCCTTTGGCTTAGGGGAAGGCTGCGTAGGAAAGCCTCTTGAGCCATGTGTACTGTAACCAACAACTTGTAAAGCTGTACAGGTCGTTTGTTGGTTTGTCGGTTCTCTTGTTGCTTCGTTGAGATCGTGAGTCGCCTCTGCGCCCAGCCATAGAAAACATTCTGCGTGAGCTTCGCTGCAGGGTATGGCCACCCAGGGTGAACACCTTCAACAGGTGATGAGCCCAACGCCTGGGCCAGAAGCAACCGGAGCGGTGGCTTCTCCGGCCTCTCTGCCTGGAGTGCGGGGAGGCGGGGATGCACCGCAGACTACAGTGAACGGAGTTGGAGTGCCATCGCCCTCTGGGCTTGCGCAGCCTATTGGGGATGGAATCCAGCAAACTATGATGGATGCGTCGTCGGGGCCATCGACTTCCACAGCTGGTCCAGTGCTATCCCCTCAGCTGCCACAAGAAACTGTTGGAACAGCCGGTCAACCGAGAGTTTCAGCAGTCGGTAGGACAGGAGGCGATGGAACACTAGGCCAGGTTGGAGGCTTGGGCACAGCTGGCGTTACGTATGAAGCAGTATCTACCACGGAGGTCGCTGATGCGAGTGGGGTGCATGGAGATGCAACTGCAGTGACTCAGGGTTTCAGTGTGGCCACCGAAAGTGGAATGGCTAGCGCTCAGATCAATGTTGCCGCAGGCGTCTCAGGGTACAACCCATCTGCAGCGAATCCTGGAAGTAGTGCTGAGGGCTTTGAAACGCCCAGATCAACGGCGTACGGGGCGTCAGCGGTCATGCAGACTGGGGCTCAGGCTTTTGCTAGTCAGTTGCTAGGAAGAGTGCAGTCTCTGTTTGGTGGCGCGGCGAACGTACAGCCACTGCCGCAAGGGTGGGCTCCCAGTCCACTGACTTCTCCTCCAAGGCCGTCGCGACCACTACAGCCCCTCGAGAGAGGAGGCCGCGTCCTGCAAGATGAGTGTCAAGTGCCGATGCCGTTGTTCACTGGTGCCAACGCGCAGCAGCTTGCTGCCATGGAGCAAAGAGCTCCCTTGCTCTACGGGTCCGGGTCTCCGGACAGGCCTCCGCACACCGAGTCCTCATCTATTCCGCATGATGCGATTCAGGCAGAAGTCGCGCGACAGCTTGATGGGTTGAAGCAGCAACTGCGAGCTGAGCAAGAGAGAGCTGGTCGTGCTGAGGCCGAACTCTCGAGGATTCGGTCTCAGCAGGCTGGTGAAGTTGAGGCTACGGCGTTGCAGCAGGTGGGTACTAGGGAGGTTGGCTTTAGTGGGTTTGGTGATAGTGGGTTCGGTTCGCATCCTGTCGCCAACACTGGGGTTGGATTTGCCCCTTCTTCATCCTCACGCCTCCTCCTCCGCCTCCTTCCGCTCCCGAGCCTCAGGGCTTCGCTGGTTTGTTCTCAGGGCTCCTTGGTTCCGGTGCGCGGTCTTCCAGCCCTGCACCGCAGAGGCCACAAGCAGAACCCAGAGGCACACTGCCAGCAGGAGCCGCGAGTGCATCAGGACCCACAGATCGTGAGATACTGATTGCTGGGATGCATCAACTTCAAGATGCCATGTCAGAGATGCTCAAGGGATCTCGCGCCGAACGCGACGGCGGTAATTCTCCCACCAACCCTGAAGCTGTTAAGCCAGGCATCTCGAGTTTCCCAGCTTTGGCAGAGCTCACTTCGGATGAAGGGTCTCTTCTGTACCAAGATTGGTTAGTTGTGATTGGGGGTTTGGTCGGTGATGTTTCGGACACAGCAGCAGAGTGGTGGCGTCAGGTTTTGGGTGTGGTTGATACGGCCTATGGGGTTTGGATTTCGTCATCACCCTTGGATAGGCTAAAGGTTGAGCCCGTTGTACCGGCTGAGTTGCTTCAAGGGCGATGGGCGCGTGTCAACTTTAGGATCTGTAGTATGCTTATGGCGGCAGTCCCCGAGTCTATCAAAGCAGACATTGTGGCCCGCAAATGCAATCAATCAGCTCCTTCCATCCTTTTCCGTTTGCACACCACGTACCAACCAGGTGGAGGTTCAGAAAAGGAGGTTATTCAGAAGAATCTCATGCAGCCCACTCCAGCATCTGATCCCTCCTCAGCCGTGAAGTCTTTGCGTGAGTGGATTCGTTGGTACAATCGCTGTGAAAGTTGCAACATGTCACCTCCGGACTCGACCATTTTGTCCAAGAGCCTCACTACCATCACTAGCCAAGTTTTGGCGCAGCATGAAGAAGCGAAGTTTCGAACGTTTATGCTTCGTTCCATGTTAAAAATGGATGCTCA